ACACTGATGGCTTCTTTGCTGGTTCCAAGCGGTGCTGCAGCGAATGCTGTGTCAGAAAACACTTTTTACAGAACCCCAAACCTGTAGCATTTCCTTTAGGACCTTTGAATTCCCATCTCTGAACACTGGTGGGTTTTTTTTGAGGGGCTGAGCGTTTTTGGGTTTGAGGCATGTGGGACTTGTACAGATTTAGAAAGCCTGAAGGGGATGCAGCAGTTGTGTTAGGACCAGATTAACTGAGGAATTCTCCACTGCCCTGCCTGCAGACCCATGTTATTGCCTCAGGATGGAAATTATTCCTGTGGGCTGAGGGATTCCAGTGCCTACTTCGTTGCTGTGATTTGTGTCCTAAGGAGTGAAGGGAGAGGGATTTTCAGGAGGTTTTGCTATTGGCAGGGAAGTGCCAGAGAGCAGGAATTGCTCAGCAGGAGCAGTCTGGCCAGGCCAGAGGCTCTTCAGCTTCTGTGGTTATTGCTATGCCTTGCACGGAGAGTTTGGTGCCAGGTCCTGTGAGTAGGGACCCTCCAGGGAAGAGGTCTGTGGAGCGGACACAGGGAGAGGGACTCCAGCAAATCCACTGAGCTTCAGGAGCTGGTTCGCTTGCTGCCCTGAAGCAGTTGCATCCATAGATGAGACTTATTGGGGCAGAAGAGGCACGTTCACACCTAAAAGGCATTTAAAGTGTGTTTTGGTATGTAGAGCTCCTGAGGTTTGGAACTGGTCCCACGTGCAGCACAGGGCAGTGCTGTGTGTGATGTTGCAGCCCGGGGCACATCTGAGCAGCAGCATTCCAGGAAAGATGCAGTGAATCACAAAATGCATCATCAGCAGAGGGTGGGATTCAGCTGGGTGCTGGGGATCCGTGTGAGCTCCAGGGAGAGCTGCTGCATGGAAATCATCTTGTTTGGTTTACAGTTTGGGATAGTTCGGGAGCATTTGCCACTCAGCCACACGGTCCCGGAGGAGATGGCCTTGAAGCACTTATAGGGAGGTAGCAACACCACCGTGATGCTGTGAACTTGTCTCTGATGACTGGCTGGGCTGGCATCCAAAAGATAAAACTGAGCCTTGTCTTTACGAATGGAATAACAAACGTTGTAGTTCCTATGCTGTGAAGGTGTATCTTTATGTGGTCAAGATAAGGCTTTAAATGTGGGGAGATAATTGCCTAGCTTTAGAAAACAACCTTTTGCAAAGGGGCAAAAAGAATAGAATGGGTTGGGTTGGAAGGGACCTTAAAGCTCATCCAGTCCCCCCCCCCTGCCATGGGCAGGGACACCTTCCACTAGAGCAGGTTGCTCCAAGCCCCTGTGTCCAACCTGGCCTTGAATACTTTATGAACACTTGAATGCAGTGATTTCCTTCTCCTGTCAGTAATCCCCACTCGGGGCACTGCTGCGTCTGCTTTAACCTGCCAGAGGGGAGACTGAGATGAGCTCTGAGGCAGAAGCTCTTCCCTGTGAGGGTGCTGAGGCGCTGGCACAGGGGGCCCAGAGCAGCTGTGGCTGCCCCATCCCCGGCAGTGTTCTGGAGGGCCAGGTTGGACACAGGGGCTTGGAGCAACCTGCTCTAGTGGAAGGTGTCCCTGCCCGTGGCAGTGGTTGGGACTGGATGAGCTTTAATCACCCACTGGATGATCTATTTTGTCAGTGCTGTGGAGGTATTTGCTTCAGTTAGACCTGCAAACCAGCTGCTCTTAGATTGCAGCTTTTGAAACTATCCTTGAAATAAAAAGAAGAAATTAATAATAGAACAAAGAAAGGCTTCAATTGTCCTCCAGAAACAGGAGTTTCTGTAATGCCATGTTAGGAGAAGGGCAGGTTTTACAGCAGCAAGTCCAGGCTGTGGGATGCTGTGGGGGATCAGAAGCCAGAGCTGCTTTGTAACACGGCATTCCCTCTGTCTCCACACCAGACTCACTGCTGGGAGCACAGGGGACAGACCCACACAGTTTCCTCCTCGTTGAGGTGTTCAGGGTCTGGTCATGGGTCACTTCTGCTGGCTGGGGCTTGACTGTTCTTGCAGCCAGCCCTTTGCAGGGAGCATTTCAGAAGCAGCAGCTATGGGGGAGTTGGGTGTGAGAGGGTTTGGATATACAAGAGTCTTCTTTTTTTCCCAAGTTTTATTATTTCTTGTATGTATTAATAGGGCAGCAGGAGGCTTCATGTGCTTTTATGGTGCCTGTTGCACTCTCTAATGGGTATGTGCCAAAGCTCCAAGGCACATAAAATAGACACACTTAGCCAGTTATTATGATGAAAATGATGTGCCTGTCATGACCTCCGAGCAGTGGGACTGTGTGTGCATGCTCCTGTGATACACCACTGCTCTCAGCTCCCTTCTGAAGCGTTCCTCGCCGTAGGAGGTTTACACAGGAGCTTGGACTAGTTTTCTAATCAGCAAAGAGTCTCTTGGCTCTGAGGGGCGCTTGCAAAGCACAGAGGAGCGAGGGAAGGGAAGAGGGATGACATTTTCTAAGGGAACTAAGAGAGAAGAGGTTAAAGGCGAATGGTGAAGCACAGCATGACAATTCTGGCACCGTCTGCACTGCTGCCAGAAAAACACTGGTCCAAAAAGTTCTTTGTGCTCTTTGAGGCAAAAGCTATTCTGGTGCTCTTGAGGATAAAGGAGGGGGAAAAAGTTCCGTTATCCATGTGCCCTATTTAAAGAGACTTTTTGTTGTTTTAAAACTTTTAATAAGAGTGCCACCAGAACTTGCTCTGCTGCACATTGCCCTGGCTGCGTGTCAGGCACTGTGCCTGGAGAGCCCTGCAGTGCTCTGCAGGGTGGGAGGAGAGAGGTGTCTGCTGTGCTGCTCAGGCAGGCGTGGAGAGGGGGCTCTGTCCTTGCTCTGCTGCATCCCTCAATCTATGCTGTTGGGAAGGACTGCTCCAGATGGATGCTCTGGGTCAGTCTTCGTGTGAGTGTCAGGAGCTGTGGACAAAATGCTTCAATGGTATGTCTGGGAGGTGGGCAGGCACCAGATGGGATGGAGACAGTGTTGGCAAAAGTATAGTTGCACTTTGATCTCTGCTTCATAGAATCATGGAATGGTTTGGGTTGGAAAGGACCTTAAGATCATCCAGTTCCATCCCCCTGCCATGGGCAGGGATGCCTCACACTAGACTATGTCAGCCAAGGCTCTGTGTCCAGCCCGGGCTTGAAAACTGCCAGGGATGGGGCATTTACCAGTTCTTTGGGCAGCCTGTTCACTTACACCATAGCTTTCTGCATGCTGCTCTGGGGGCTGCAAGCAGCTTGAGTCCCTGTCCCTCCTGCATAGGATGCACCCAGGAAGAAAGAGTTGGAAGTCCAGGAGATCTGATGGTTTCAAAAGCTCTTGAGGAACATGAGGGGTCATGCAGGGCGAGCAGCAAGGCCTGATGTTGCTCAAACTGGTGTTAATACTGAGCCCCTGTAGAGATGCTCGGCTGCATCCCCACTGTAATAACAAATGGGAAAGATAACACTGAGGGGTTTAAAAATTAAGTATTCCCTTGAATTATTGACCATGATAATCTTCATGCAAATTGAGCCTGGATGTGTGCTTCCAGAGTGACACAGTTGGGAGCAGTTATGGGGGGGGTGTCAGTGGCCTGTCAGCTCAGAGGCTCCACATTGTTCTTAGTGTTTTATGGATAGTTCCCTGGAGAGGGGCACAGGCTGGTAGAGAGAAAGACTTGACTTTGCACTGGTGGCTTCCCCAGACTGGGGGGTGTGTAGGTATGTTCACAGAATCCCAGCCTGGTTTGGGTTGAAGGGACCTTAAAGCTCCTCCAGCTCCAACCCCTGCCATGGGCAGGGACACCTTCCACTAGAGCAGGTTGCTCCAAGCCCCTGTGTCCAACCTGGCCTTGAACACTGCCAGGGATGGGGCAGCCACAGCTTCTCTGGGCACCCTGTGCCAGCGCCTCAGCACCCTCACAGGGAAGAGCTTCTGCCCAAGAGCTCATCTCAATCTCCCCTCTGGCAGGTTCAAGCCATTGCCCTTGTCCTGTCCCTACAGGCCCTTGTCCAAAGCCCCTCTCCAGGTTTCTTGTCAGCCCCTTTAGGCACTGGAAGGCTGTTATAAGAGGGTTTTAAGGTCTCCCCTGAGATGTTGTCTTTACATAGATGGGTATTGATATTTTGGAAGCCTCCTGGTAAGGAGGGCTGTAATCAAGAAAATAACTGCTGCTGCTGGAGGCTGTCCCATTTGCTCCATGCAGGATGTGTGGGCAGAACATCCTCAGTTCTTCAAAGGTGGAGAGAGGAAAATGCAGCTTGGCTTTTCCTAGCAAACTGGTAGTCCTTGTGTAAAACATGGATGTGTGATGGTCCCTGAGCTTCATGGGGCAGTGTGGCACAACCTGCTGTGCGAGAGTGGTCCTGGCTGGGCACCATGCTGTGTCTCTGGTCCACAGATCAGCACATGTCCAGGGCAGATGCAACCTTGGATGTGCAGCTGAAGTGAGCCTGATGCATTCAGGAAAGCTACGGCACTGCAGGAGCTTTTCAAATGGCTTTGAGGACACTTAGGGCAGGGATGGTGCTGGGGGTCGAGTCCAAATACCCTGTGTGTGATTACACTCCGATAAATATTTTCCTTTTCATAATAGAATGTCAGCATTTACTGTTTCCTGATTTTAAACACTGTACACTTTGTCAAACATTTATCTGTGTCTTAAATTAAGTCTGGAGATAGAATTCCTGTTAATATCAAATCAATATGAAAGGGGGGAGAAAAAAATTGCAGTCTAGCCCTTTTGTGGGATCAATATTTCCTTTAAAAGCTGAAATGTTAACTGGATCAGATTGGTTTGCCATTTGAAATGGAGCTGGGGTTCAAGAACACATGGGTTTCCCCTGAAGATAGCTGGTGCTGATGGGTTTGCAGCAGGCACGGTTGCCAGGAGGTGTGTGACCCAAAGCGGGCAGGATGGGACCAGCCTTTGCAGCAGCAATCCCTGTGTCTGAGCTCATCTCTTCATAACTCCTTCCTTTTCTGTTCTGTTTTGCAGAAGCCTTTGAGATTGTAGTACGACACGCAAGAAACTTCACCAACAGCATGTTTAGGAGCCTCTACCAGAGCATGGGGCCCAGAGCTCTGAAGTTTGTTGGAGAACTTTTTACTGATGTCTCTCTGTACATACTGGGCTCTGACATCAGTGTCAATGACATGATCAATGAGTTTTTTGACAGTTTGTTTCCTTTGGTTTACTCTCACTTGCTGAATCCCGGCTTCCCCGAGCCCTCCGTGGAGATGGCTGAATGCCTGCGCGCGGCCAGGAGAGACCTCAAAGTCTTTGGTAACTACCCAAAGATGATGATGACGCAGGTGTCCAAGTCACTGCAGGCCACCCGAGTCTTTCTGCAGGCTCTCAACCTGGGGATTGAGGTGATCAACACCACTGACCACCTGAAGTTCAGCAAGGACTGTGGCCGAGCGCTGCTGAAGATGTGGTACTGCTCACACTGCCAGGGGCTGCTCCTGGCCAAGCCCTGTGCCAGCTACTGTGCCGTGGTGATGCAAGGATGCTTGGCGGGTGTCATAGAGATTGATAACCACTGGAGAGAGTACATCAGGGCTCTCGAGGGGCTGACCAAAGGCATGCATGGCATGTATGATATGGAGCACGTCCTCCTGAACCTGTTCTCCTTGGTACGGGATGCAATCATCTACGTGCAGAAGAACGAAGGGAAGCTCTCCACAACTGTGAGTAGTTCCATGAGCTTGCTGCCATGGCAGGGCTGTTGTGTACCACAAGCTCTACATGTTGAAACCAACCTCCCCCTTTCCTCCAGCCAACAAACCCTAAATGCTCCTATTACCAGCTCCTCTCTCCTTCCCCACACCTCAAAAACTTCTGGTAGTATTTGAAACTGGGGTTTGTGGGGCCTGGGGTGGCCAGAGGAGAAGGACCATGGAAGTATCAGCTTGTAAGTGATAAGCTTATACTTGAGTTGTGTGCCATTCAGCCAGCAGCACTCTTCTGTGCCATCTTATGTGCCACCTCTGCTTGGTGATGGCCTGAGACACCGCCACACATGGACAGGCAGGACTCATGGGCTGCACATTAGGCTCCAGGGTACAGAGCAGGACACTGCTTTCAGCCTGCATAGCTCAGCCCCTTCCTGCAGGAAACCCCTGTCTCACAGCAGCTTGCTTCAAAGTCTCTCATGTCCCCAGGACCACGGGGAGGAACCAGCTGATGGGGTCCAGGAGCGGTGGCTCTGCTGGGCTCAACTTTTGGTGCCATGGAGCCAGATCAGGATCTTCTCTTATCAGCCAGAACCTGTCAACCCTCTCTGGAACAGCAAAGGAGCAGAGATGTAACTGTAGGTTTAGCTTGAGGTCAGGTGAGATAGAGAATTCATGTTAAAGGTGATAATGATGTATGCAAGAGGGAACACCCAGCTCAGCTCTAAGCCCAGCTGGCACTTCCAAGGCAGTAAGAAACAAAACTTACTTCTGCTTGTAGTGTGATCTCAAAGAGCAGTTGACACATTTAGCTGTGAGCAAAAACATCCAGGATGTTACTCACCAGCAAACCTGCTCTGCTTTGTAGGTGCTAAGGCAGAACAGAGCCCTAACACACTGTACGGCAGGTTTTGCAACACACCCATGTTCATTGCTGTACAGTCCTGAAAGGATAAGTGTTTGTCCTCCTTTTTATTGAAGATGTCCATATATACAGTGAAGGGACATGACTATCAGTTATATTATTGAATATTGAGACTTGATCTGCCTACAGTGAAGGTGTCTGTGGGAGAACAAGTAGCTGGAGTGCCTCTGAAGTCAACGCAAGCCATGGCAGTAGAGCCGTCATCTGCCCATCCTCTGCCAAAGCAGAACATTGACTTGCTTTAAAATAAGAAATCCCTGAGCATTGCAAAATCACTCCGTGCTTTCATACTTGATAGAGCTGTTTGAATTCACTGCTGCCATATAGAGGTGGGTACTCAGCTAAACATAACTCCTCTTGATTATTTAATACTTTAGTGATTCTTTTGTTTGATCTAAGACAGTTTTTAGTTATGGAAATGTAGAGGAACAGAAAATCTAAGCCAGGCCAGCAAATTGTCTGGCAATTGTCACTGAAGGAGAATGGCGACTGGGGTTTTCAAGGTTCCTTTTCAAACACCACTGGTGCTCAGCTGAGGCTCTTGTGTCAAACCTGAGCCCAGAGCAACAGCTTTTATGAATGCAGGTCTGAGCTGTGCTAGAGGAGTAGGGCAGTACTGGCAGTGCTGACAGTCTGAGCTCCAGCCCTGCACGTGCCTGATGCTGCTGGCTGGTCTGCGCCCGGCGTCTGGAGTGAACATCTCTGCCCATGAGGGCTAAAATACAGGTTTACTCTTTAGCTGTGCTGGAATGAACGTTTCTCTGTTAAACTTAGCAGCACATATTGGGTTTCAAAGACTATACTCGGAAGCAAATAGTCGGACTAACCGTTATCCTGTAAATATGATTGGTTTTAGACACCATTGTCAGATCTAAGTGTCAAATGTCATGGGAGTTGTCTTTGAAAATGTGGGATTTTGCTCTTGTGCTGGCTCCTCATGTCAACCTCTGTTATTACTGACCTTGGCCACCACTACTTCTGTAGGCAAAGTCTGATGCACACGTATGTTATTAAGGCTAATGACAGGTTATTTAATTGTCATTAAAATCCTCTGGGATTATGGAAAACTTCTCTTCCATGCCCATAGTGATTACAGCCTGATTATCAACATGACTGTCCTTGCCTGTCCTATGGGCTGCTTTGGTTTCTCATAGCATTGGCGGCACTGCTGTGGCAGTAGTTTTCCCTCCTGGTATTTCAGGTCCTCAGGTGCGTTATGTGACCAAGCATCCTTCCCCCAGGTGACCGCTCCTCTGCCCCCTGTCCCCCACCCCTAGGCTGGGTGCAGGCGTTTGCATGGGGGCATGGACCCCTTTTACAGCTTGCAGCAGACCTGGCTGCAAAGGGCAGCTGAGTTGAGCTGCAGGGGTGTTGCAGGGCCTCCAGGTACGTTTCTGAGGAGCTCTGCAGTCCCTCAGTGAGGAGTCCTAGTGCTGTTGATGTGCTTTGGAAGCTGTGTGCCTCCAGGCACGCATCTCAGAGTCAGCCTGCACTGGTGCTCTGCTGCTCTGTACACAGCCATGTGCAAGAGCAAATTCACTAAGTTGTCAGCAGGCAGTTCCCACCCCAAACCCTGCTTTAACAGCTGGTTTGTCAGGGAGGGAATGTGTTAGAGATTTATTATTTCTGCAGTTTGTCTATTTAAAAACTTTACCCCTAAAATATGCTGTTAAAATACTTTATCAGGGGGCTGAGTCTGAAGGCAGAGTGGGAAAAGTTTCTGTCTAGGGGTGTATCTCTATAAATTTTCCTATCTGCTATATTTTTTCTGGTTGAAAATGTGCCTGGTACATCCACCTCTTGTGGATATTTTAATCCTGAATGCAGAGGAGAGTGATTTCAGTCAGTCTGTTCGTGCTTTCTACCACAAAGACAACTGGGGAGATGCACTGCAAATAAACTTCATCAAATAGTCAGTCCCACCCCTCTTGAAGTTAGTGCTTTATCTGCTGTTGGAAGTAGAAGAGAGGCAATAGATCTGTGTGTCTTACATAGCTAATAGTTGATCTCCTCTGGGGTTAGAATCATAGAATCCCAGCCTGGTTTGTGTTGGGAAGGACCTCAAAGCTCCTCCAGTCCCAATCCCTGCCACGGGCAGGGACACCTTCCACTAGAGCAGGTTGCTCCAAGCCCCTGTGTCCAACCTGGCCTTGAACACTGCCAGGGATGGGGCAGCCACAGCTTCTCTGGGCACCCTCGGCCTCACCATCCTCTCCACTTGGCCGTTGAGCTGTTGACCACAACTCTGAGTGTGACCATGCAGCCAATTCCTCATCCACTGTACGGGTCAAGCTCTCTGCCTTAAGCCAGCACTACAGGTGTATTTGGAAAGGTTACAGAGCTGAGGTGTGAAGACCATTGGTTTATTTAGCTACGTAAGCATTTTTTTCTCAACACTGTTTTCCACCCCTGTAACTCATCAAGGTTTTGAAGCCATCCCAGCAGAGTGGGAACCACCAGCAGCTCACAGCGTAGTGAGACACGAACCAAAAAAGGTGGGTGGCTTGTGGTGAGGCTGTACTGTGTATTGCATGTGAGGAGGAGGATGCACTGCAAGTGTGACTCATCAGAGAGAGGGATGTGGATACTGGCCGCATTAGCTGCCCTTCGGATGGGGGTGGCAGGATTTCTCCTGCCCTTTAGCTGTGGTGTGGTTCCTCTCCACCTGGACATGGAGCTGCAGTTGCCAATCCCCTCCTTGAACAGTGAGATTCTCTGCTTGGCAGGACCTGTGTGTGTTAGTGTAGGGTCAGGCACAGAAGATACTGTGGAGCTGATGTGTCTGCAAACCACAGAATGGTTTGTGTTAAAGGGACCTTAAAGCTCCTCCAGTCCCAACCCCTGCCACGAGCAGGGACACCTTCCACTAGAGCAGGTTGCTCCAAGCCCCTGTGTCCAGCCTGGCCTTGAACACTGCCAGGGATGGGGCATAAATGTTGCAAGGCAATGCAAGATTAGTCTTACAAGTGCCATAATAAAAATACTATGGAGAAAAGAGCAGGGAGCTCCTCAAGATATTTTTCCTCACTCAGAACTGCTGGCTTAGTTTGTAGAATATCCTGTTGCAAAGTTAAGGTAGCCAGACCTTTATTCAATGATTGCACCCATGGGTGCTGTGGAGGCAGCGGGTCAGAGGCAGGGTACCGGTGCTGTACTGCAGGGTGCAGTGCTCCATGCTCTCGCCCTGGGAGTGGATCTCTGCTGGTTTACTTCCCTGCAAACACCTTTAAAAGACTGCTCAGGTTTGGGTTAACTATGATACATAGCTGAGGAGGCAAAGCCACAGTGCAGTACAGCTCTGGGTTTATCCCAAAGCTGGAGCACTCACCCAGCCAGTGCAGGCAGAGCTGGGTGTGAACCCAGAGGAACAGGCTCAGCAAACTAGATCCTCTTTTGCCCTTGTTTTTTTTGGGAATCCTAGTGGGGAGACCATGAGCATGCTGAAATGATAACCAGCAACTTTGATTGCAGCACCACAGAGAGAAGCAATTTGCTGGTGTAGGAATGTGCAGTACCAGCAGCTGCACAAGGATGCAAATCAAGAATAGGTAAGTGAAAGGAGTTTTATCACCCAGGGATGAAGAGGACACTGTCACCACAGCCAGTGACTCAGAGCATTTGTGAGCACAGCTGTGCCAGGGTGGTTTTCCCTGGATGCTCCCCGGAGCTGCTTTTGGAGCCGGCTCACCTGGCCACTTGCTGGAAGCTGCTTTGCCTGGTGGGTTACAGCAGCAGGGAGCTCCAGTGAGATTTTCCTGCCTGCTAATGGTTTTCTTTCTGTGCTGGAGACTTGTGAGGAAAGCTTTGAAACTCCAGTGCTGTTCAAGAAGTCATTCCCTTCGAGACGCCGAGATCATTTCCTCTGTATTTTGATGCAGGTTGATTTCTGTTGGCATCACTCTTGGGTCGGATGTACAGCCTCTGTATTGTCAGTTTCTTTATTGGCCAAGTTTAACCCTCAGGCTGTTCTCTAATGCTTGCTGGTAACCAGCTCCATTTTTCACTTACAGCTGGAAATACAGGGAAGGTTTTGGTTTGCAGTAAACTCAGACCCACTCATAGTTATCCCAAGGTGCGTTTAGCATCTACT